TTCAATACATAAGCTCATAAGCTCATTAAGAATCTGTTCTCCTTGCAACAGGACACAATTGGAAACAATGGATATATTACCAAGGCTCATGGTATTTTTTTTAGAAAAACATGAATACTTCCAGACATGATTAGACAGCCTTAAGGAACAAAGACTGACTTAGGGAAGCCTAATTGGGAAAAACCGGTCTAGTACCTTATTTACAGAATTCACAAAAACCTTACCACATCAACTTTTGCATTCAGCATTCTCTGCTTGTGATATCCATTTAACTGAAGGAAATGAAATTAAACACGATATTTTACAACTGGAAAAGACACTTTCATAGGACTCTACCAGCAAGATGGAAAGGACCACATTAGGTGCTCTCCTACCTACTCTGTGTGAGGCCAGGTCTGCAGGTGTTGACTCTTGGATTCACATTTCCCATGTAAAGAAAGCCCTTGCAGCCCAACCAGTTGGTTGAGCACACCCTACAAACTCAAATGGCTGCTGGTTCAATTCCCCATCAGGGCACATACCTGGGTTACAGTGGGGTTCAATCCTGGTCAGAGTAACATATGGAAGGCAACCGATCAATGTTTCTCTCTCCCTTCCTCTAAGTATGTCCTTGGGTGAGGATTAAAAACAAACAAAAGAAAGCCCTTGTACCTAACTGGACTGTTGAACCAACAGAAGATTTGAAATTAAAAATTACTAGGAAGTGAAGGAGACAGTATCTGTTGTGGCAGGTAACCCCAAATTCTGGATCTATACCTTCATTTTTCCTTACTTTAGTTCCTCTCTATCTTACAAATAATACGAGAGGCAAAGCATACTAGTATACTATAATAGTTATTATTTCCTTTTTTCCCTTATATTTCTGCCTGCAAAGATAACTCAACATTGGACATTACCTTTAAACCTAGTTAACAAGTAAAAACATGCAGAGGTGGTAAACACTGTCAAGGGTGTTCAATGGCTGGCAGTGTCAACCCCAGGAAGGGTGCCAGACTGGGAAGAAAATTTCTTCTTTAAGCAAGCATTGCAATAAATGAGTACATAATTAGAAACTTTATCATAAACCTTAGGGGAAATTGCTGGAGCTACCACCAAAGTAAAAGCCAACTAGAAATATCATTAAATTCTCTTACAACAACTTGTGTTAGATAACAGAATTGCTCTTGACCATATCCCAGCTGAACAAGGTGGGGTCTGCTTTGTTGTTAATACCTCTTAGAGTACTTGGATAAACATCTGAAATACAGATGGAACTAGATAAAATCCGGCACAAGTCAAATGATAAATACAGAACCTCATGATCTTTTGATATCCTTAGCTAGCTGCCTTTAGGTATTGCCTCCTGGCCTAACATTTCATTTGTCATTATAGGAATTTTTTTTGTTATAAAACTTTGTTTTGTATAGCTTGATGCACCACTCAGATAATGGTTTGCTCAACGTTTTGAGATGATCACTAAGACCTATGAGACATTATATGAGAAACCTCAAGAAATGATAGATATTTGGCCTGAAGGGAACATGACAGTAAAGCCTTCAGTTCTGGTGCTCTGACTGCTCAGATGTGGCCCCAGGCTCCTAAGAAAACCACTTTCCCTCCTATGTGGAACGTGACATACTAGGAATGAGCCTTCCTGGCCATGAGGGACCAACAATGCTTTTAATAACTAATCAGTGTTGCTTTCCAATGACTGATCAATGATGCTTTCAAGGAAAGAACTGATCAAAAGGGGAAAATGTGAAAAATATAAATGGAACCACTTTAAAAATGGAGTCAGTTCTGCCACCCCAGAGGAACTGCTTTCCATGTCCTGCTCCTCAAACCATCAGAGTGTTAAAACTGGGCAAAATAACCTTTGGACTGAGCCTAAAGCAGCACTGTATCCCAAACAACTGTTTGTAAAGATAACAAGAGCCTACTTTATGAACAATGGGCTGAAAATTAAAGACATTCTTTAGGATTAGCGTCACTATGTTAGCTTACCTGCATCAACAGAAAGTCCTTCCTTCTTTATGTAATCATTGCCCTTCCCTTTCTCACAAATACCCCTTGCCTTCACCTCCTAATAGGAACACTATTTTGGTTTCTACCTGAATCAGTGCTTCCTAAATAACTAGTCTTTTGGATCTCAAATAAATGTTTGTTGCCTTTCACTTTGGCCTTTTGTTTTTAGGTTAACAGTTATACCCTTTTATAATAAACTGGTAAACATAAGTAAAGTGTATCCCTGAGTTCTGTGAGCCATTTTAGCAAATTATCCAATCTGAGGAGGGGGTTGTGGGAAGTCCTGGTTTATAAGTGGCTGGTCAGAAGTATAGATCACAACCTGGGACTTGGGAATGGCCTCTGCAGTGCGGGCAATCTTTTGGGACTGAGCCCTTAACCTGTAGAATGTGAGGCTATCTCCAGACAGACAGTGTCAGAATGCAGTTAAATTGTAGCACACCCTGTCAGTGTCTGCTGAGAACTGGAGAATTGCTGGATGTGGGAAAAACAAATTTGGTGGCCAGAAGAATTAAATTTGTGAGTAGGGAGAAGCAGTTTTTTCTTTAAGTAGTTAAAATCAACATTCTGATATATGAAATCTTCTATTTTCAGCTCTGCTTAAAAATTTGCTTCTATCAAATACTGAATTTAGCCTGTATGGTAAAGATAACACTACCTGTCAAATCTACCTCATAACTGTGATGATCAAATGAAAGATATGCAAAAAAGTATTATAAAGACTTAAAGACTTTATCACTCAAATTATTATTTTATTACTAAGTGATAGACAGTAAAATATAAAAGTATAGTTGATGCTTGAACAATGCACCTAAATCCGCAATGGATTTAAATCTGTGTATAAGTGGACCCACATAGTTCAAACCTACATTGTTTAAGGGTCAACTATATTTCTGACTAATGGTTGAGAACCTGTTTATGTAGAGGGCCGACTTGAGTTATAGGTGGATATTGACTGTGTGGCTAGTCAGCTCCCTTAACCCTCAAGTTATTCAAGGAACCTCTATAAGTTTAATAGTGCCTTTTGAACAAGCAGGCATAAAAATAAATAAATAAGTAAGTAACTTAAGGAAAAAAACCTGCCAAAATTCGATCCAAGGACTGAAAGACAGACAGACAGGTGGGCTTAGGACCAGCTGGAGACAAGATAAAATGGGAGAGAGGGGAATCACACCTAACTCTTATGTTTATATAGATACTAGTGGCCCAGTGCATGAATTTGTGCACATTGAAAGGAAATTAATTAGAAGAAATATTTTAATATCACTATTCGCCCTTTCTCTATAATAGAAGTGTCAACCAAATCACAATAGACAATGACAGATGGAAACATGTGTGCGATTGGCACCAGCGAGAGCTTTATATGTACTGCGCATGTGAGAGTCAACTTAGCCTTCTATAGATATAGAATAAATTTGCTTAATTAGACCTGCTTTCTGATGTAGCTAACTTTTTCTCGCCCAGTGAAGCACTCCAACTTCTCTTTCAGGTAATTATCAACAACACAGCAGTAAATATCAACACGAAGCAGATTATTATTGTAGATCATGCAGGGAGAACAAAGGGTAAAATATTTAGCTGCGGCAGTGTTTGACTATATTCTGTGCAGTGAGAAAACCTGAAGTCATTTTCAAGGTCCACCATTTCTTACTTCTTGTCAGTCGGGTCAAGTTTCTAAGCTTTCTAAATCTCCATTTTCTGGCTAATGAAAAGAAAATAGAATTCCATCGAGTCTCCTATCTACCTACTCCAAGACTTCTGTGAGGATCAAATGAGATGAGGCATGGGAAAACGCTTCACAGACATTTGGTTAAAGTGTAAAATGTTTGCACCTGGCTATAAAGCAAGTCGTGTTCCTGAGCTGAAGAAACTGCAAGGAGGCTAGTCTCTAGGGAGAGGAAGCTGGGTGTTGCTCTGTGATGTCATTACCCAGACAGACACTTAACATATTAGCCTTTTATATACAGTGGGGCCTTGACTTACTAGTGTCCCGACTAACGAATTTTTTGAGATAGCAGCTGTCTCTAGGCCGATTTTTTGCATTGAGTTGATAGAGTAATTTGAGTTAACGAGCTCCTTAATGAGCTCCTTAACGAGCTCGGTCTCGGAACGAATTAAACTCGTAAGTCAAGGCCCCACTGTATATTGATAGATGGAAAGAGAACTGTAAAAATGAGTGAAGTAAAAACGAAACCAAAAAAAAGGTGGAACTTCTCATTCTGAATAAATATGTAAAATCAAGCTGCTTACTTGAGAGTTTCTTGGATATTGAGATAGACCTGTAGTTTCTCCCCTGATGTGTCATTCCCAGTGCCTTGCCCTGGGGAGCAGTAGAACTCACTGAGTGCTGTTTATAAATTGGACTGGGACCGAAACTGCTAGGCCACTGGCTGCTGGAGACTACTCTCCTGGCCCCCTCCCTACCTGAGGGGAGAAAGGAGAAGGTCAATGCACTGGAGATGCAAATTAGAGAGAGGTCATGAATTGCTGCAGTGAGCACAAAGTCTGCAGTCAGACAGAGCTGAATCTGAATCTGGACTCAGCAAATAACCAGTTTGGAATCAGCTGTGTCACTCAGGCAATCCCAGATGCTCTCTGAATTGGTCTGTGACCAAATAAGAAAAACTAGGGCAATGTAATATAGTTTTTCATAACACTAAATTTGTCTTTGTTTTCATGCTGTAATTATGATGTTACCTTTTTTGGTGGTAACAATGTCCTTTATTTTATGAAAGGATGGGGATGGTAGCTTGTAGTAGTATGTATGTATGTATGTATGTATGTATGTATTTATTTATTTTTGCAAATTCAGAACACCTTTATTAGCTAATCAGATACGCAGTCCCAAACGGCACCACCGAAACCACACCGCACCCGGGAGGCCCATTTCCCGCCGACGTGACTCATTTCCACTCGGCCTTCAAGGACTCAGCACGCAGGTAGCCCGCGTCCGTGTTCCCGAGCTCCCCCGCCCCCCACCCCAGCCCGGCGGGGACTCAGGGACAGAGGGCCAGCCAGCTCTCAGCATCCCCTGTGCAATCCGCAGGCCCGAAAAAGGGGCGCAGGGGCTCCCCAGCCGAAATGGCGGGGAACGTGAACACGTGGGACCCATCGGCCACGTGGTAGAAGGAGAAGGTCCCCATCTCCACGTCCAGGAAGAGGCCCAGGCGGTGCAGGCGGGGCTGGACCATGAGCCCCAAGGCCGGCTCGGTGCCGGCGATGAACTGGTTCCCGTCCTGGCAGCTCACGGTCCAGAAGCCGAGCTCCACGGACAGGACCACCTCGTCCTGCCGGGGGGCCGACTCCCTGCAGAGGCCCAGGTTCCACTGCCGGCTGCTCCCCACGTCCACCTCCCAGTAGTGGCGACCGGAGGTGAAGTGGGGAGAGCCCAGGACACAGGGGGAGTCGTTGAATCTCCCAGGGTGGGCTCGGCGCCCCTGTGGGAGATCCCCGATGCGGACCCGCTGCAGGTCCTCGGAGATGGTGAGGTAGTTGTGGGCAGTGTCCACGTCCAAGGTCATGTCCACGTGGAACTTGCTAATCTTGGGGTCCATCTGCAGGACGGATGCCATCTGGGGCTCCATCGCCTTGGCCTTGGCCGCCAGCCTGCCCAGCACTCTGTTGGGCTTGATGTCGGCCGTCTGAGAAACCTTGGAGCAGTTGGAGCACCGCACCCCCTGGCCGCCCGGCTCCGTGGGCAGGGCGCGCAGGCACCGGTGGCAGCAGATGTAGCCGCACTTGAGGTTCACGGGGTCCTCAAAGTACGGGGTCCTCAAAGTACGTGAGGCAGACGGGGCAGCGGGCGGCTTCCTTAAAGTGCTGGGCCATGGCCGCCGCCTCTCAGACGCTAAGTCCCCTTCTGGCCTCTGGCTACTTCACTTGAAGGCTCAGCTGTGGAGTCGCTTGTAGTAGTATTTAAATAGGTTCTTACCCTTAACAGAATTAGGTTTGTGATCTTATGTCTGTTCCTAATAGCCCCCTATACAGACTTTCCTTTTTTTTTTTTTTGACTTGCCCACAAAGTCCAAAAGTCTGGGAACTACTGACTTAGAAGTCTTACTTTCTCATCAATAAAATAGGAGATGGAAAACTCTTTTGCAGAGTTGGTGTGCAGTGATGATGACATATATAAAGCGTCATCAGATAATAAAGCACCTTCAGAGCTTTACTATCATAAAAAGCTTGACTACTTGACCTGAAGGTTTATTCAATAATATCCATATCCAGGCAGTGTAGCACAATCATCAAAAGCAAGCTCTGGGATCAAACAGCTGGATTTAAATCCTGGCTTTGCCACTGCTAGCTCTGTGATCTTGAGGAAGTCAGAGTAAGTTACAATCTCATCACTCAAGTGGGGTTGATAAACAACAGGACCTACCAAATAGGGCTTTTATAAGATTTAAATTAGATAATCCATGTAATATGCTTATCACAGTGCCCTCTAAGTGCTCTATACTTCTTAACTAAGCATCGTTGTTAATATTACTAATAGGTGGCCAGAAATGCTTTCTAAATGCTTGTTAGTTTCTGCATCAACATATTCTAATGTGATGTTTTTATTAAGAGGCTATGAGGATAATCAGGGTTAATATTTATTTAAACTATTTCAAACTAAATCTCCAGGTCAAGAATGAGAATTTGGATGACATACAGATGCAAGCATCATCAAATGTCATCCTAAACAATATCTAGAAAATCAGTATTTTCATTGCTTTTGAAATTTGTTTATATTGATCAAAGGAGATATAATATACAGTCATATAATGAAAATGGTGATTTTCAAATAAAATAGCTTTTAATAAATAGTTACCTTTTTATAAAATCAAATGTAATTTTTATATTTAGTATGAATTTATTCCTCTAATATTATCCTTAATAAACTATAGGTTTTAGTGTTATTTATATTTTAAAATATGTCTAAGTTTTTCTGAAATTCACCAACATAAGTTAGAATTTATTTTAGTTTATATAAGAGTTAATTTATAAAAGAAATTCTGAAATGATACATGGGTTTTTTCCTTTATGAAATTTTAATGTGTTTTCTTATATTTAAAAAGACAAAAACATTATACACAAACACCTTCTAAGGTAGAAATCCATTAGCAGTTCTTTCACAGGAGTAACTATTGAGTGAGAGTATGTTTTAATTCTCAAGAGAATGAAGGATGTCAACAAAAGCATAGCCCAACATTTCCTATTAATGCATGGTAAAGGTTATAACAGAATTTCTGGTCTCTATGTCTAACTTTAAGTCTTTATAACTACCATAAAAATGTCAGATAGAGGTTACAAAATTAGAGCTCACAGTTGATTATTTAAATGTCCAATGTTAGAAGATATAAACTGTTTTTTTCTGTATTTCTGCAAACCATGTAACATAGCAACATGTAACAACTAGTTATAGTAGTTATACAATAGATTATATATTTATCTACCTTTTAAATATATATATATTTTTTATTGATTTTTTATAGAGAAGAAGGGAGAGGGATAGAGAGTTAGAAACATCGATCAGCTGCCTCCTGCACACCCCCTACTGGAGATATGCCCACAACCAAGGTACATGCCCTTGACCGGAATCGAACCTGGGACCCTTCTGTCCGAAGGCCGACGCTCTATCCACTGAGCCAAACCGGTTAGGGCTATCTATCTTTTGTGTAACTACTATAACTAGCATGTGTATATATGTATGTATATGTACATACGTAATTACACAATAGATTAAATATTTATATTTTGTGTAACTACTATTACTGACATGTATGTGTAGATGTATGAGTGTATATATATACACATACACGAAACTATATATGTATACATATACACATATACATATATACACACACACACACACACACACACACACACACACACAACTGTATCTTCTCTAACTTCCAGAATGCTTGGCGACTGAAGAGAAAAACTTTTGAGTAAAACATTGCCATTAGCTTTACAGGGTTATGAAGGGACTGGAGCTATTATGTTAGATTACCGGGTTTGAATGCAGGTTTTGCCCTTTAAAACCTGTAATCTTTGTAAACTGGACAGAATAACAGTACTATTTCAAAGTGTAATTTGGAGACAATTCATGTAGAAAACAATACTTGCTTCTACCATCAATTGCAAAACTGAAAGAAACAATGCTATGAAATGCTTTGCTTAGAAGTGATTGCCGCAAGTGTTAGGAAGGTAAGTCAGATATGAAATAGCTTCTGTAGGGAAGTATTTATTAGTTTGGTTAGCCTCTCCTGAAAGGGCAACACATATTTTCTAGAATTATCTTCGGAATCGAGGAAGTCAAATCCAAGACCACGAGTGGAACCACACACAAGCAACGATGGTTATCACCGGCTTGAGTCAAACACCTGCCAATCCTGGTCCACAGATGCCATTTCCTATGAATGGGCGGAACCGGCCCGATCTTAGAACTTTCTAGCCTGCAGCAAACTTCCTTCCAGCGAAGAACGAACACACACACACAGACACACACACACACACACACACGCGCACACACACGCACGCACCCGCCGAACTCATCATGAACTCACCCCTGCAGAAAAAGAGGCCAAGTTGCCAAAGAGGTTCGGAGCCTCAAAATCGGTCTGTAAAGGGCGCGGGAGGAGAGAGGGATGCTCGCGTTTGGGAGGCCACAGGGCCTCACCCCGCGCGGGAAAAGGGTCGCCCTGGGACCAGCGAGTCGAGAAACGGGGAAGTCACGCCCCCAAACCGGGCGCCGGGGAAGAGCGGTGGCCGGCCGAACTGGGGTTCCGCGACCTGGCCGCTCCCCCCGGCCCTCAGCGAACCCCTTCGCTTCACCCCGCCGCCCCAACCGCCAAGCGGGGACCTCGCCGGCCGCACGCGCGGAAGCCGGCGGCGGGTCAGGCTCGGCTTCCCGGGCCAGGCGGCAGGAGGCCGACGCCCGCTCGCCTCCCGGAGCCCCCGCCCGGCCCCGCCGCGCCGCGCCAGGCCGCCCGCAGCCGCGTGCCGCCCGGAGCCTTACCCGACGTCTCGCTCCGCGACAGGTGGTGCTGCCGGCAAAGAAGCCGCGGCCCTGCCCCCGCCCGGGCGATGATCAGCTCCGGCCCGGCCCTCCCCTTCGCCGGGTCTCCCCGAGGCAGTGCCAGCTCAGGTGCGCGGCGGCGGAGCGGCGAGCCCAGGAGCCGGCTGGCACTGAAGTAACGTAGAGAGAGGGCGGGATCCGGGAGCAGGGGGACCCGGAGGAGGGCCGGCGCCCCATGGGCGGAGACTGACGGGCACGCGGGCCAATGCGGAGGCAGGAAGTCGGCCCCGGGGGGCGGGGCTCCGCTCGGGGCGCGGCGGCCCGCGCTCTGTTCCTGCCCCGCCGCACCTTCCTGCGTGGGGACCCTCCAAGTTACTGTTTTGAGGCCCAGCGCGCGCCCTGTGGACTCGGTCCCGAGGAATGTGAGGGGGGTCGTGTAGAGTAGGAGGAGTCCGGAGATAGTGGCGACGCCCGTCGCTCGACCACAGAGTCCGAGGCTGGCTGGCTGCGGACCTCGCATCCCTGGGCGGGCGGGGTGGGGTTGTCGCTGGTGCTGGCTGCGCGGTCGCGCGAGAAGAGGCTCTGCGCGTGCGCGGGCGGGGCCGGCGCGGTCGGTGGGTACCAGCCTCCCAGCCTCGCTGGCGGAGGCGAGAGGAAGGCTGGGAGCTCGGGGCACCCTGGGCAGCTGGTGGAAGTTGGGCGAGGAGGGAGGATGGAGGAGGTGGACAGAGGTCAGGGATGGAGAGGCGCCGGAGAGGGGACCCGGGAAATGCGGAGCCTCCGCCCTGTAGGAAGCTGTCTGTTCCTGAGCGGTTCTTGTGGGTCTAGGACTCACTGTTCGCCAGACGCCACTGCTGCTGGCACCGTTATTGGCCGGTAGGGAATTTACAAATGATCCCTAGCATCACCGTCACCATAACAGATAGTCACTGTTCTCGCTCAGGACAGCAACAGAACACTAAATTGCCTTCTTGAAATGGGCCCTGGCCAGGTGGCTCAGTTGATTGGAGCACCCCCCACCCCCCACATACCAGGGTTGTGGGTTGCCAGTCAGGGCACATACAAGAATCCACCAATGAATGCATATATAAGAACAACAAATCTCTCTCTCCCTTCCTCGCAAAATCAATTAAAATTAAAAAAGAAGCAGGGACCATAACTTAATACACCTATACCCAACCACGGTTATGATATTGGGAGATATTTCTATACTCTTCACTCCTTTTTTCAGAAAATGTTATCATCAAAAATTCTTTGAGTTTGTGTACTCAAAGTATAGTGATGATAATTTAAAAATAAACATGTAATGGATAAACAAAGAGTTAAGGCAAATGGAATAAGAAAATTGGAAGTGATGGAAATGTAAAACAAAATTGAGTGGCGTTAGAGAAAAGTGACTTGTCCCGTCCTGAAGACTTGGGCAATTATGTACATCTGCAGCAGCGCTGCCAGTCGGAGGATGAAAGGGTGGGGCACGTTTGTGAACACTGTAGTTAGATGATAAAATGATAGGTATGGCTGCTCTAACCACTGCAGTTGAAGAGGGACTATAAATTAGCATGACCTACAATAACCTTGCATGCCAGAAATGGTCAAGATGCAGCAAGCTGAATGAGGGAACTTCAAATATTACATCATAAAGGCTTCATTGGTAGAGGTACAAGTATGTTTTCTTTGAAAGACAGTTTGTTCTACTTTAGAATAATTCCAAGTTGAAGGGTTGTAGAGAGCTATCATGGATGGGAATTATTTTGGTTAAATTGAGGTCAGTTCCTTCCTTAAATGAAATACCTGTTAATGTCAAGGAGGCAGACACTGCTATTTGCTATTTGGCTGGTCCACCCCATTCACTTATTTTTTTTTAATTTTTAAAAATTTATTTTTATTGATTTCAGAGAGGAAGGGAGAGATAGAAACATCAATAATGAGGGGGGGATCATTGATTGGCTGCCTCCTGCATGCCCCCCACTGGGGACCCAGCTGGAAACCCAGGCATGGGCATGTGCCCTTGACTGGAATCGAACCTGGGACCCTTCAGTCCGCAGGCCGACGCTCTATCCACTGAGCCAAACTAGCTAGGGTTCACTTGTTATTCTTAGTCACTTTGGTGGTTGGTCTGATGTGTTCAGTGACCAAGCCTGGTACCTATTTCCTACCCCCAGTTCTCTGTTGATTTGGACCTTGGTACCTTGTTTTACATGACTCCCTTTTTTACGAACATCCTTTCAGGAAGAGCCCGTGTCCTCTTTCTGGCTCAGTATTGTCTGCATAGCTGTTTTGACAACTCAACAAGGCCCAGCGAGCTACATTCTGGGCACAGAGGAGGGCACCAAGGAAGGAGCCTATAAGGAAGTCATTGGATTCACAGCTATTTCAGGGGCATTTACTGCAAAAGAAACAGCAATGCACAATGCAAATGGATCCTTGTATGTATTAATTCATGCAGTGAGGTGTGTAAAGTACCTCGCTCTAGCTTAATGAAGTTTTACATATGTAAACACCTGTGTAGACATGGTTCAAATTGAGATATAGATAATTCCATGTGCCTCTTTATCGCCTCCTCCCCCCTTAAAGCTAACGCCTTTACTGACTAATACCGGAAGCTCTAGGGGCAGGACATGGGTGTGGGTCAGTTTGTATGAGTCCTGCATCACTGGGAGTTGAGGCTGCTATCTCAGGCTTTGTCTACAGTTTGGCTGGTTCATCTGTGAAGTGGGAGGGGCCTCGAAGGGCAGGCTGCTGAGGCATACCTGGCCACGTGACTTCCCTGTAAAACCCTTTAATGAGCAGAGTTTAAAGTGGCATATATGCCAGTTATCTCAAGATGGGAACACATTCACTTACCTTTCTCAAACTCAAAGGGAGATGTGTGGAAACCTTCCATATCAATTACCATAAAAATAGAGCAGTGTTTTTTTTTTTTTAATCCAAACATCACAGTGTGTTTCCTTGAGGAAAATCCATATTATTGAGTTTCAGAGAATTACAGAAGGTCATTCTCTTTGTGAGGAAAGTGTATGTGAATAGGACTGTTGGCTTTAGGTTGACACATCATTTATAGCAAAAACAGAGTGTGCTAATCACATGTTTAGATTTACACAACTCCATCTGCCTTAGAATAGAAAACATTAATAATGAATGCTGACTGCGCCATGGGGAATTGTCCTCCAATAAACTAGGGCCATTAAAAATGCAAACTCTTTAAAAATACAAGAGAAAGTAAACAGTATATCTAAAGGCATTTGTGCTAAATACTGCAGAAGCAAAACTCCTATCCGCCTAGTGTGGAAGTGAGACATAAAAGCATTTGGTGTAGGTTAGTACTATCATTAAAAAACAATAATATTTTTGTTATTCCCAAAATGCAATGAAGTGTTAATGATGATAATTGCCTCCAAAAAGTACTAAAAATTCTTTATATAATTAAAATAAATATAACTTCTCAGGCTATCTAAAAGTGTAAACTAATACCATAATAAGCAGTGTCTTCCTTAACAAAACATTTTAAGGAAAGTCCTAGATATTTTTGTGAAGAACAAAGAATTTAATATCATAGGTTTATTAATAATAGAACTTTAACTCCTCAAGGAAAAATAACACTTTGATATTTATAGATAATACTAGAGGCCCGGTGCACGAAAATTCGTGCACTGGCGGGGGGGTGTCCCTCAGCCTGGCCTGCCCCCTCTCACAGTCTGGGTGGTCTCAGGGGATGTCCTACTGATGGCTTAGGCCCGGGAAAGTGGGCCTAAGCCACAGTCTGGCCTCCCTCTGCAGGAGGCAACCAGCCAATCAGGGGAAGGCGCTGCCCCCATCATGCCTCTGCTGCTGCCACTGCTGGCCGCCAAGGCTGCCTGAGCCTCGGCCCTCGCAGCCACTGCGGCTTCCCTGAGCCTCAACCCGGCTCTCGCTGCCTGAGCCTTGGGCCCTCACAGTGGCAGCTGCCATCCGAGGCCTGCCTGAGCCTCGGGCCAGCCCTGGCAGCAGCAGCCACCATCTGCGGCTTGCCTGAGCCGCGGACAGCCGCTGCGACTTTGTCCGGAAGGATGTCTGAAAGACGTCCACCCTAATTAGCATATTACCCTTTTATCAGTATAGATTGTACCACACTTGATTTTTCTCTAGGACTTTTAGGTAACCTGGAAAGAGTAAGGCAAAAATTTACTAGCATCATGTCATTGTAGAAATAATATTTTTTACTTATGAAAGTGACATGGTCTTGCTAAGGAAAGCCTAGGCTGCTTGGTGTTATTTATAACCAAATCCTAGTCCTGGCTCCGTTATTGTCTATAAGCCCCTAAAAGAAGACTCAAGGAACAGCAACATTGGTATTGTTAACTAGAGGCCCAGCACACGAAATTCATGCGTGGGTACGGTCCCTAGGACTGACCTGCGATCAGGGCCATCTTCCCCGGCTGTGGGCCCACCACCCACCCTCGGTTCCCCTTTTGCCATTGACTGATCGGTGCCTGACGGATGGGGGAAGGGACTGAGAGGTCAGCTGTTCCTGCCCGCTCGCAGGCCCCACCCCTGCTGTGGGTTGCCCTCTGTGTGTGGGGTGACCAATGGGGTGGCGACCTTGGCCTGACACCGCCCACATCCCCTGCCATCCATCCCCGTTCCCCGTTCGCCATCAGGCAATCAGAGCCTGCTGGCCAGGGAAAGGGACCGAGAGGTGGCCAGTGAGCCTCATAGTGACTGGTCCAGCGGTCGTTATGGTCATTCCACCTTTAGGGTCAATTTGCATATTACCCTTTTATTATATAGGAATAGAGGCCTGGTGCACGGGTGGGGACCAGCTGGCCTGCCCTGATGGGGGTCCCAGATCAGGGTGGGGCTCCCTGCTGTGGGGCGAGGCCGGCCTGGGAGAGGTGTTCTGGTCTCTGGTCATTCTAGTCGTGATGGTGTTAAGGTCGCTGGCTTTTTATATATATAGATGGTGATGATGGACGTCGGTCCTTAAGTTCGGCAAAGAAAGAATTCAGAGCCCAGAACTCTAGTGCAAGAGGAAGCTTATTTAGCAAGCAAAGCAAAGTACACTTGAAGAGAAGACTCAAGCAGACTGCTTAGAGGACTGCCTTGGCCTTTTACAAAGAAAGTCACACAGCCAGAAGAAGTGAGCCATCTGGGCTGCATGGGCTCAGGGAATAAGTTACAGAGACAAAAG